CCCCTTTTATAAACAAAGAAAACTGAGGCTCTGAGGAGTGATGTGAAATGCTCAAAGCCATCTAGCCAGGAAGTAACAGAGCCAACAATTTGGGTGTGGTCCCTCAATCCAGGGCTATTTCATCACACCACTACTGCCTGCCTCATCTGAGAAACGGGAGTATGGCACAAGGTGACCTTCGAGGCCCTTCTGAGGTTTGACGCTACCAAGAAAGAGGCGTCAGAAACAAACAGGTTTCCAGCCCTTGGTTTCTCAAAGCCATAACTCAAGGCCCAAGTTTCCCAGGGCATCCATATGGTGCTGCCCAAGAAGAGCAGGGAGAGGTAAAATTCTGCAGGGTAATCTAATGGGGCAGAGGTGTGCACCTGAGATCAAGGCTTCCCCCTTCCCAGCTGGCAGGTACTTATTTAATCAACAAGTATTTCCTGAGTTCTGTCCAGGCTGGGCCTCAGGCTGGCCCAGGAAAGGGGGCTCTATGGGGAGCACAGAGCCAGGCAGGAAGGACTCACGCCTGGTTGCAGGAGTCCTGGTTAAAGCGGCAGGTGAAGATGAAGTTGTCCAGTGCGTCCTCCTTGAGGGATGGTGAGCTGTTCGTCAGGTGTGACAGAATGTTGATGTAGTGGAAGCGGTACCACTCCCTCACCGCATCCACCCCCGATGAGTAAGTCTGGTAGAAGCAGTCCGATTGGTTCTCGTTGCACTAAACAAAGAACCCAAAGGGTCAGAGGGCCAGCAGCAGGAGATAGGCAGCAGGACAGGGCCACAGTCAAGGAATGAAAGGTCTGGGGTCCTGAGGACTGCTAGAAAGGGGTGGAGAGCCAGGGGTGGGGAAGAAAGAGGAAATAGAGGTGGAGAGAAGCAGAAATCCAGAGGGAGAGAATGGATCAGGAAAGCATGGGATTAACGGAGTGATGGGCAAAGGGGAGGTGGCGCAAATGGTTACAGTAAGCATTCAACTACTAAAAATTGGTGGTTTGTACTATGCAATGATAAAGAACAATGATGAATCTGCAAAACATCTCACAACATGGATGAATCTGGAGGGCATTATGTTGAGTGAAATAAGTTAATCACAAAGGACAAATATTGTATGAGACCACTATTATAAAAACCTAAGAAAAGGTTCACACACAGAAAAAAACAGTCTTTGATGGTTATGAGGGAGAGGAGGAATGTGGAAGGGAAATCACTAACTAGATAGTAGACAAGTGTTAATTTTGGTGAAGGGAAAGATAACACCCAATACAGGGGAAGTCAGCACAATTTGACCAAGGCAAAGTCATAGAAGCTTCCTAGACACATCCAAACTCCTTGAGGGACTGACTTACTGGGGCTGAGGGCTGGGGACCATGGTCTCAGGGGACATCTAGGTCAACTAGCATAACATGGATCATAAAGAAAATGTTCTGTTTGGGGTCTTAAAAGCAGTCATCTAAGGTACATCTATTGGTCCCATCCCATTTGGAGCAAAGGAGAATGAAGAAAATCAAAGGCACAAGCAAAATATTAGTCCAAAGAAGTAACAGACCACATGAACCACAGCCTCCACCAGACTGAGCCCAGAACAACTAGAGGGTGCCCAGCTACCACCGTCGACAGGGATCACAATAGAGAGTCCCAGTCAGAGCAGGAGAAAAATATAGAACAAAATTCAAATTCACAAAAAAAGACCAGACTTACTGGTCTGATAGAGACTGGAGGGGCCCCTGGACACCCTGCTAACTCAGAACTGAAGCCACTCCTAAAGTCTACCCTTCAGCCAAAGATTAGACAGGCCTATTCAACAAACATTAACACACGTGAGGACCGTGCCTCTTAATTCAATCAAGTATATGAGACCAAATGGGCAACACCTGCCCAAAAGCAAAGACGCGAAGGCAGGAAGGGACAGGAAAACTAGACGAATGGACATGGGGAACCCAGGGTGGAAAGGGCAGGAATGTTGTCACATTGCAGGGATTGCAACCAATGTCACAAAACAATTTGTATATAATTTTTTTTAATGAGAAACTGACTTGTGCTGTAAACTTTCACTTGAAGCATAATAAAATTATAATTAAAAAAAGAAAGAAAGATGAGCACAGCTAACTCCAACAGAACCCAACCCACTTGGGAAGCTCTCTGTGCTTCGGAAGGGTGAATGGTTTGGGCTTGCAGATGAGCAGAAACCATCTCATTCATAAAGTCACTCACATTATATCCACATCATTTGTAAGGCAAATAAAAATGTCATCTTCAAAAAACAAAAAGAAGAAAAGCAACTAAACAGAAAAAAAAAAAAATGGTGGTTTGAACCCACCCAGAGGCATCTTGATCTATTTCCAAAAGGTCACAGCCACCAGGGCCTTGAAAACTACACATCCCAGTTCTACTTTGAAACACATGAGGTCGCCATAAGTCAGAACAGACTCAAGGGTAACTAGTTTGGTTTTGAGATACAGCCTCCAAAGGAGGATGGGGCAAGGGATTTTCCCCCACTTCACTGATGGGAAGACTGAGGGATCAAGATGTTTGTTCTAGCAGCAGAAGCTGGGACTAGAATTCAGGTTTCCTGGTAGAATGGCTCACTCACACTAGAGGGAGCCTCCCTCTCTTATTCCCTCTCCTCCTCTCCCATTTCCTCTCTTATTCTGTCTTGCATTTTTTATTTTTAAAAAGTTTTTTTTTTCTTAATTCTCCTTCTTTGCTATTTCCTTACTCTCGTCTTAGGCCGTCAGCCCCAGTTCCCCACCACACTGGAGGGTCCCACGGAGGGCGAGGGGTGGGGGGCGGGAGATGGGGTGGGAGCACGCCTGGAATTCTAAAAGGTGCATTTTCCACAGCAGATTTGACTCCCTGCTTCATAAACGCTCCACGTAGGCCTCCACCCAGGAGACCCCACAGGCCGCCGGACAGAGAGATATTATTTATTCATTCATTCTTCATTGCCAGTAAGCCTACGAGGGCCTGCATCATAACATTAAGCAACCGAGGCAGGATCAGGAAAGGGAGCGGAGCTCAGCAGTGGTCGAACAAGAAGGGGCAGGGGCCGGGTGAGTGGGGCTTCCCCTCTTGGTCGGTGGGCGTGGCCGTTTGGGGGCGGGGCCTTACCAGTTGGAAGCCGATCTTCCAGTCTTTCCTGTTCACCCGGGGGTTGTTATCCCGCACGCTGGAGGCCGTGCTGCGGGCCTTGCGGGCCTTGTGGGGTGGGGGCGGCACCTGCAGGCGCTGCAGGGGGTGCGGCAGGTTCCCCCGGAGGCCGCGGCGGCTGCGGTGATGGACCTTGAGGGTGTTAGAGGAGTTGTATTTATACAGGTCGAAGAGTGTCTTCTCTGTAATGTGGTCCAGCTCCTCCAGCTCCTCTTTAATTTCAGTATACCTGGAGGGGGCGACGAGAAAAGGGTTGGACTAGGGGGCGGCCTCGCGCAAATCCCTGGCCCCTCTGGGCCTTTCTCCTCTGTAATCGGTAAAGTCTGTTCATCCCGGAGAGCAGGTGAGAGCGCTGAAGCCTACCGGGGCGTGCTCAGGTGTTCCCAGGGCTATCCTGGCCGGGGGGGGGGGTGAGGGAGGAGGTAAAAACCGGTGTGTCTGAGGGAGGACGTGGAGGCGACAACGAGCCCCGGCGGAGACAGCATTTACTGCCGCCTGTTTATTGAAAGAAGGAGGCGGGAGTCGCCTGTCCATGGGGCGCCCTCCTCCCATTCGCCCGGACCTAGAGAAGGAAACCCGGAACTTGTCTGCCCTTTCTCCTAAGGCAGAAGAGGAGTGAGCCCTAGCCTGGGTCCAGACTCTCCCACAGACCCGCGGTGCGCTGGCTATTCTGCCCTTCACCCCCTAAGGCAAAGGTGACCTTTGGACCTGTGCCGCCTGCCCCCAGGCACCTTCCAAATCAGGGCTTCTCAAATGCACGTTTAGAATCCCCTGAGGAACTTGTACAAATACCGGATACCACACTCCCCTCCCAGAGATTCAGTTTAGTGAGTTTCAGGTAGGGCTCAAACATCCTAAGTTAAACACTGTCTAGTACAAATCCTCACGTTCCTTCTTCTTAATACACGCCCATCTCCACCTTAAAGTTCAGAATGGCAGGGCCTTAGGGACAGAATCTACCAAAAACCAAACAAACACCTATAATTAAGAGGTGAAGTAAGCAAGGTCTCAGGATACAGAACTTTCTGTATACTAGCAACAAAAAGTTGGAAAATGACATTGCAAAACCAATACCATTTAAAATAGCATAAACAACATCAAATACCTAGGAATAAATCTTAACAAAAGATATGCAAGACTCCTACACTGTAAACTACAAAACCCTGCTGAAAGAAAGACCAAAATAAACAGATATTCATGTTCGTGGATCAAAAGACTCATTACTGTTAAGTGGTCTCCCCAAACTGATCTTTAGCTTCAACACAATCCCTGTCAAAACTTCAGCAGACAATTTTGAGGAAACTGACAGGCTGACTCTAAGATTTAAATGGAAATTCAAAGGATCTAGAATGGTCAAAACAATTTTGGAAAAGAAGAGCAAAGCTGGAGGACTTACTTTACCTGACTTTAAGACTTACTGTAAAGACACAGTAATCAGAACAGTGTGGTGCTTGCATAAGGAAAGACAATAGATCAACAGAATAAAGTCCAGAAATAAACTCACACATATATGGTCAACTAATTTTTGACCAAAGCACCAATTCAATTCAATGGGGAAAATAATTTTTCTTTTAACAAATTGTATTGGAACAACTGGATATTGTATGGGCAAAAAAAATAAACCTAGACCTCTACCTTACTAGGAGCCCTGGTGGCACAGTGGTTAAGAGCTCTTAACCACAAGGTCAGCAGTTCAAATCCACCAGCCGCTTGTTGGAAACCCTATGGGGCAGTTCTACTCTGTCCTATAGGATAGCTATGAGTCAGAATCAACTCGATGGCAATGGTTTGTTTTGTTTTTTTGGTCTACCTTACTAAACCTGTCGCCACTGAGTCAATTCTGACTCACAGCAACACTATAGGACAGCGTAGAACTGTCCCACAGTTTCCAAAGCTGCAATCTTTACAGAAGCAGACTGCCACATCTTTCTCCCTCGGAAGGGCTGGTGGATTTGAACTGCCCACCTCTAGGTTAGCAGCCAAGCACTTAATTAACTACTGCACCACCGGGGCTCCTTTCTACCTTACTACATACACAAAAATTAATTCAAGATGGATCATAGACCTAAAATAAAACTCAGAATCATACAGACTAAAAAAAAATAGGCGATATCTTCATGACCACGGAGTAGGCAAAAAAATCTTGGACAAAACACTAAAAGCACAAACCATAAAAGAAAAAATTGATGAACTAAACTTCATAAAAATTAAAGATTTTTGCTCATCAAGATAGCATTTAGAAAATGATTAGGCAAGCCATAGACTAAGAAAAGAACATTTAACAAAGGACTCATCCTGAAATATAAAGAACTCTTACGAATCAACAATTTAAAAATAAAAATTTTTTTTTAAATGGCCAAGGAAGAAGTTCTAAGGTGTGTGCTTGGTATTCTGAGAGACATGCTTGCTATCTGTAATTAAAAGAATGGCAATAATGACTAGTATGTATTAAGCAAGGAGGCCTGGTTGTGCAATGGTTAAGTGTTCAGCTGCTAACTGAAAGGTCAGTGGTTCAAATCCACCTGGGGTTCCTTGGGAGAAAAGACCTGGCGATCTGCTCTCATAAAGATTACAGCCTAGGAAACCCTATGGGGAATTCTCCTCTGTTCTACAGGGTCACTATGAGTTGAAATTGACTGGATGGCACACAACAACAACATGCATTAGCCTTTTCATGACCAGTGGGATAGACAGTTGCCCACCAACATTTTCTGCCTCTCAGACTCATTGGGAAGCTGCTTTCTCACAGACAGTACAGGCTGCCGAAAGGCAGGAGCCTTTATGATTGTTTGACACAGAAAAAAATGGGCATGTGTTGCAAATTACTGTTTCTACAGGGTGTTGTATGAGGTGTGTGCATTTTGCATAGGAAAAAGAGAAATTTTGAAAAAAAATTGGGGGCATATATGTCCCAGTGGACTCAGGAAGACTCTGGGGGTAAAATTAATGGAATATTATATCCCTCTGGATTCTAACGGTAGGCTTGTGGGAGGGGGCAAGAAAAAAAAATCCATACTACCTACCAAAAAATTCAGCAACACTCAATGATTCAGCATGCTTCCATTAATGAAAACTCATAGTATCAACAAAAAATTCAAAGCAAAAAATAATTGGGTCTTGAAAGGGTTAGGCACTTACTATGAGCCAAGCACTTTGGTATTAGAATGCCTGTTATTTAATTTAATCCTCAGTGTAACTGTTATGTAACTATTAGCCTCTGTTAGCTACTATTGTCATTCCCTTCTACAGGTGAAAAACCCGAGGCATGGTCACATGGCCAGGAAATGGGTCAGAAAGCACTCTAACCATCACACTAAATTCTGACCTTGCTACTTCCAACTATTTTAGGAGGGCTGCAAGGTGCTCAAGGAGCTCTAGTGGCACAGTGGTTAAGCGCCTGGCTGCTAACAGAAAGGTTGATGGTTGGAACTCACCAGCCGTTCCGCAGGACAAAAATGTGGCAGTCTGCTTCCGTAAAGATTTACAGCACTGAAAACCCTATGGGGCAGTTTTACTCTGTCCTCTCAGGTTGCTATGAGTTGGAATCAACTCAATGGCAATGGGTTTGGTTTTGGTTTTGGTTTGGGCATGGTGTTCAGAAAGAACATCAGAGCCAGAGTTGGCCAGATACTATGTTCTAGCTGTGTAATGTTGGATAAGTAACCCAACATTTCTGAATCTCAACCTTGGTTTCTTCATCAGTAAAATGAGCGTAACATCAGATCCATCTACCACATGAAGTTCTTGGAAGGTTAAACGAGAAAATATTAAAACTGAAGAGGCCATAGAATATCAGGAAGACACTGATCCTGAAGCCCAGGAAAGAAAATGACGTGTCTTTCTCAAGGTCATACAGGAAGAATCCACATCTCCCAACTTAGGTGGAGTTGTTTCTACCACATCTCTGGCTGGGCCTCCCTTCCCATCCTGCTCCCCCTATCCCCCACCCCTCAGTTTGCTCATGTCCCTCTGTGCCTCTCTTCTGCCTTCTACACCTTCCTCATACTCATCACCAACTCCAAGCTGTCTATCCCTTCTCTGGCCACATCACAACTCCACACTGAGAGCCAGGCTGCCCTTTTCCCAGTGCCCCTCATCATATTCAGCTCCTCCTGGCTCTTCCACAGAGGCCTCTGATGACCCACCCCCCAACCTGGTCTTCCAGCCTTTGATTTTCCTAACTTCCTCCAGCCCCCAAACACACACCTGTGACAAGGCCTCCAGAAGAAGAGAGGTCGGGCTCCACACAGAACCCTTTCATTCTCCAAGGTCTATTTCTCTCCTTTTTATTGGCTTAATTCAGGAAGAAGTACTCCCATATCACTCCCTCAAAAAAGAAATCCCTCTCTCACCAACTCCCTGATATTTGAAATTCCTGTAACAGGAGGCAGAGCCTTTCAGTTGATACCTAGAGCTAAGAAAATTGATTCCTGGGTAAAACATACCTACCTGCTCTAAGCAATGGGTTGTTGTTGTAGGAGCCCTGGTGGTGCAGCGGTTAAGAACTCAGCTGCTGACCAAAAGGTTGGCAGTTCGAACCCACCAGTTGGTCCTTGGAAACCCTACTACTACTACTCTTGTCCTACAGGGTCACTATGAGTCAGAATCAACTCGATGGCAATGGGTTTGGTTTTCTTGGTTTTATATTTCATGTAAGTAGGGTCATACATGCAGGTGCACCTTGAAAATCCTGTGGGGCAGCTCTACTCTGTCCTATAGGGTCGCTATGAGTCAGAATTGATTCGACGGCAATGGGTTTGGTTTTTTGGGTTTTTTTCAACTCATAGTGAACCCATGTGACAAAGTAGAACTGCCCCATAGGGTCTCCTAGGCTGTACTCTTCACACAAGCAAATCGCCAGGTCTTTCTCCTGAGGAGCTGCTGGGTAAGTTTGAACTACTACCCTTTTGGTTAGCAGCTGAGTGCTTAACCATTGCACCAAATCCCACCTTCGTCACTAACTTCGTGGTAAGGACCAGCACGAATCCAATTCTCCAAGTGTGGAAACGGGTCCAGTCTTCACCTTCCCACTTCTCTGTCCTCATCAACAGCTGCCCAAGCAGCCACACTCTCCCCGACCCTATCCACCAGGAGTTGATCAGAGCTCACAAACTAGGACACCTTCCTTCAGACTGCCAAATAGGCAGACACCAGCTCCTGATGGCTTTCACTGCCCCTGTAGATTCCTTAACTCACTGGAATGACTCACAGAATTCATGGAGAGTATAC